CACCCGACCATGCCGATGATCAAGCTGCAGAGCAGTGATGAGGAGATCTTCGAGGTGGACGTCGATGTGGCCCGCATGTCCGTCACCCTGCGCACCATGCTGGACGACCTGGGCATCGAGGAGGACGACGGCGAGCCCATTCCGGTGCAGAACGTCAACAGCTCCATTCTCCGCAAGGTGATCCAGTGGGCGACGTACCACAAGAACGATCCGCCCACCCCGGAGGATGATGACACGCGCGAGAAGCGCACTGACGACATCTCCTCCTGGGATGCCGACTTCCTCAANCAAGGTGATCCAGTGGGCGACGTACCACAAGAACGATCCGCCCACCCCGGAGGATGATGACACGCGCGAGAAGCGCACTGACGACATCTCCTCCTGGGATGCTGACTTCCTCAAGGTCGACCAGGGCACGCTCTTCGAGATCATCCTCGCCGGTACGTCTTTTGTTTAACCCTCAGCCTTTTTAGAAACGTTTTCTAACAGTGATGTCTTGTTNAGGTCGACCAGGGCACGCTCTTCGAGATCATCCTCGCCGGTACGTCTTTTCTTTAGCTTCAGCTTTTTTAGAAACGTTTTCTAACAACGATGATGTCTTACTTGATTGTTTGTTTGCTTGCAGCCAACTACTTGGACATCAAGGGACTCCTGGACGTCACCTGCAAGACCGTGGCGAACATGATCCGCGGCAAGACCCCGGAGGAGATCCGCAAGACGTTCAACATTAAGAACGACTTTACTCCTCAGGTATGGCATTCTACTATTTAAAGAAGTATAAATGGGACAGCTCTTTCTAACCTATTCTACTTTTTCGCCTTGCAGGAAGAAGAGCAGATCCGCCGAGAGAATGAGTGGTGCGAGGAGAAGTAACCGGGGGAAGCAGCAACCGAGTTGCAAAGTTTAGGGCAGTTTGGCCGAGAATGTTCACGTTTGGGCTGGGCGATCCCACTGTGTTGTCACCTGTTTCGCTCCTCGACGGCAACTTTCCGGTCAACTTCGATCTCCCTCTTTCTTTCTCTTTATCTGTCTCTCTCTCTCTCTCTACTATCGCCCGATTTATTTGTCCTGACTGCTTTTTACTTCTACTCCCATTTCTCACATTGTACCACAGGCGTTCACAGAAGCTCGATCGAGCGACTCTTCAGCTATGTCTCTCCTCCATCTCTCTTTCAAAAACTCCTGATTAGACACATTTCGCACACACACNCATTTCTCACATTGTACCACAGGCGTTCACAGAAGCTCGATCGAGCGGCTCTTCAGCTATGTCTCTCCTCCATCTCCTTCAAAAACTCCTGATTAGACACATTTCGCACACACACACATACACACCGTTCAGGCAAAACTTGCCGGTTTGCTAAAGCACCACCACCTTGCAGGCTTCTATTTTTCTTATTCTCTTCAATTTTCCTCTCTATCTCTATTTTAATCCACACCACACATGTAGAGGTTCGAAACACCAAGAACAAAAANCACACATACACACCGTTCAGGCAAAACTTGCCGGTTTGCTAAAGCACCACTACCTTGCAGGCTTCTATTTTTCTTATTCTCTTCAACTTTCCTCTCTATCTCTATTTTAATCCCCACCACACATGTAGAGGTTCGAAACACCAAGAACAATGACACCACCACCACCATTTTCCTGATGAACTTCCTTTAAAAATAATAAACTTGTTGTAATCTAATCAATAAAGAAAGAATGTGGTTTAATTAGGAAAATCACGATTTAACAGCTTTTCTACGGCTACTTTGTACAGAAGAGATTGAGAATAAAGAGAATAGAATAGAATAGAGCTTTTCAGAATCGGTTGAAGAAACTCTTGACGCCCACCGCACCGCCGGTCACCTTGTTCTCCAGGTGGCGGATGTGCTCGTTGTGCTTCAGGTATTTGTTGCGCGCCTGGTCACGCAGAAAGATCTCCCGCGCGTACACCTTCGGCATGGTCCACTTCTCCGCGGCCATCAGCTGGTCGAAGACCTTGTCCTTGCGGACGTAGGGCGTCTCCGAGCCGTAGTAGAACTTCTTCACCTTTCGGAGGATCAGATTGAAGATGTTGCCGCCCTCCAGGCCAGAGGAAGAGGACAGCGGACGAGCCACTACGAGACTGCGGAAAAGGGGAAAGAAAGAATTAGAATGAGACACAAATACTCTAAAACCACAGAGAACTCCTCAACTTACCACTGGCCAGTGGACTGCACTTTTCGCGCAACTTTGAACATCTTGGGTGGTCTTGTGAGGACCAGAAAAGTGGTTCAAGATGGGTGAAAGGAGGATGTAAACAAAAGCCTTTTCTTGAGGTCAAAACGAAGGCGATTTTTAGAAGCTGTATGCACACAACGTTAAAATAGCCCACAAATTCAGCGTCTGGTTGAACCAGACGAAAAACGACTGAATGCGAACCAGAGAATCCAACTGAATTGTGGCCAAACAAAACGATGCCTTATCTCAATTCTTCATCTGATAAAGACTGATCAAGAACTGTACTGAGATCAAATCAACAAAAGCTGATCATCAGGTGCACCTGTGTG